ATTGCTCTGTGTTAGTGACAAATCTTTTATAGTTCTAAAATACCTCACGCCAACTTTTGTATTATTTCTTGTCTTGAAGTCTACTTGTTTGTATTTTTTATAACCAGGGTTCATTGAGGTAATTGGCCATTTCCATGTGATAGAAAAAACTGAACAAATTCCACATAATCAGAATTTAGATGCTAGAAAAGAATAAACACTTAAGGAACATAAAAGGAAAGAATAATTAAAGTATAAATAAACCATTAATAATTAATCAAGATAATTAATTCACAAAAATATTCTGAAAATTATATCTTGCCTCTTTCACATAGCATTAAATCTTCTAAATTCACCCACTTTGTGTTGAATGACAGGATCTCACTGTTCTTTATGAGTAAGTAGTATTTCACTGTATGTATCTGCCAGAGTTTCATAACATGGTCATCACTCTTCGAGCACTTAGACTGATTCAGTGTGTTAGCTATTGTGAATAATGCTGTGGTAAACGCAGATGTGCAAATGTCACTCTGATAGAGCCATTTCGTGTTCTTCGGGTTATTTTCCAGGAGTGGCATTACTGGGTCAAATAGTAGTTCTGTTTATAAAGTTGTTTTTTTTTTTTTTTGCTATAGGGCGTGTGCACTCGCCAGACAGACAGAGAGACAGAAAACAAGAAATTACCCTCCAGGGAGATGGTCACGCCGCAATCCCTTCTCCTCCATTCTCCTCTCGGGATCTTGGGCACGCACGCATACATGCCCGGCATGAGTTTTAAGCCACTGGGTCCTGGACGTGAACCACGGTTGACTATGTGGGAGTCCAGCGACACAGCCATTACGCTAACTGCTGGTCCCTGTTTATAAAGTTTTGAGGAAAATCTAAAATCATTTGAATGCTTATTTTAGGACACACTCTGGATTCTCTATTATTTTACTCAGTGGCTTTACTAATTTACATTTCCACCAACAGTGCACAAATGTTCTCTCTTCTCCATAACCTTGCCAGCACTTATTCTTTGTTTTCTTTTTCTCTTTCTTTCTCTTTCTTTCTCTTTCTCTTTCTTTCTTTCTTTCTTTCTTTCTCTCTCTTTCTTTCTTTCTTTCTTTCTTTCTCTCTCTTTCTTTCTTTCTTTCTTTCTTTCTCTCTCTTTCTTTCTTTCTTTCTTTCTTTCTCTCTCTTTCTTTCTTTCTTTCTTTCTTTCTCTCTCTTTCTTTCTTTCTTTCTTTCTTTCTCTCTCTTTCTTTCTTTCTTTCTTTCTTTCTCTCTCTTTCTTTCTTTCTTTCTTTCTTTCTCTCTCTTTCTTTCTTTCTTTCTTTCTTTCTCTCTCTTTCTTTCTTTCTTTCTTTCTTTCTCTCTCTTTCTTTCTTTCTTTCTTTCTTTCTCTCTCTTTCTTTCTTTCTTTCTTTCTTTCTCTCTCTTTCTTTCTTTCTTTCTTTCTTTCTCTTTCTTTCTTTCTTTCTTTCTTTCCTTCCTTCCTTCCTTCCTTCCTTTCTTTCTTTCCTTTTCCTTTCTTTTTTCTTTCTTTTTTATTTTAATAGACATTCTGACTGGGGTAATCTTGGTGATAACCTTATTGTTGTTTTCATTTGCATTTCCTTTATGATGACAAATATTGAACATTTTCCCATATGCTTTTGGGCATTTATATGTCTATTTTTATAAGTTGTCTGTTTAGATCAATTGCCCATTTTTAAAGTAGATTATTAGTTTTACTTATTTATTTATTTATTTATTTAGCATTTGAGCTATTTGAGTTCCCTAGATATTCTAGTTCTCAATTCCTTATCTGATGTATAGTTTGCAAATATTTTCTCCCCTTCTGTGGGCTGTCTCTTTACTCATTGTTTCCTTGCTGTGCAGAAAGTTTTTAGCCTGATGTAATTCCACTTTTGTTGTTACTGTTGTCACCCATGCTTTAGGGGGTCTTATTTAAGAAATCTCTTCCTACACCCATGACTTCAAGTGTTTCCCCTGTAATTTTCACAGGTAGTTTCATAGTTCGGCTCTTTACATTTCTTTTCTTTTTTTCTTTCTTTCTTTCTTTTTTTTTTTTTCTTTTTGAGAGATTATTGCTATAGGGCGCGTGCACTCGCCAGAAAGACAGAGAGAGACAGAAAGAGAGAAAGCGAGAAATCACCCTCCAGGGAGGATGGCCATGCCACAATCCCTTCTCCTCCATTCTCCTCTCAGGATCTTGGGCATGCACACACACTGCTCAGTGTGAGTGCAAGCCACTGGTTCCGGGACTTGAATCACAGTTGACTACATGGTAGTTCAACGACATAGCCATTACGCTAACTGCTGGTCCAATTGGCTCTTTACATTTCAATATTTAATCCATTTTGGGTTGATTTTGTGAATTGTCAGAGATGGGGGTCTAGTTTCATTTTTCTATGCCCTTTGCCAAAAATCAGTTGACTGTTTATTTTAGGGCTCACTCTGGATTCTCTATTCTGTTCCATTAGTCTGTTTTTGTGCCCGTACCATGTTGCTTTGATTATTATAGCTTTGTAATATCTACCTATCTATCTATCTATCTATCTATCTATCTATCTATCTATCTATCTATCTGAGAGATTTTTGTTATAGATAGCATGCGCTCACTGGAGAGTGAGACAGAGAGACAGAAAGAAACGATAACAAATGACCCCTAAGGAGGATGACCATTCTGTAATCCCTTCTCTTCTATTCTCCTCTCAGGATCTTGGGTGCGTGCGTGTGCGCGCACACACACACACACACACACACACACACACACACACATCTGGTGTGGGTTTTATATTGCCAGGTCCGGGACTCTAACTGTGGTCGACTATGTGGAAGCCTAGTAGTTATACCATCTGCTGGTCCAAAGGTTTGTAATATACTTTGAGATCAAGTGGTGAGATGCTTCCAACTTTATTCTTTTTGAGTGGTATTGTCTTGTTGATATGGGATTATTTATGATTCCAGAAAAAATTTATGATTGCTTTTGCTATTTTTGTGAAGACTCTGCCTGGTATTTTGAATTTGGAAATTAATTTAGATAGTTAGGCATTTTAACTTTATATTGATTCTCTACTATAAGAACAAGGGAAACTTTCACTTTGTTAATATCTTCCTTCTGCTTTTCACAGATTACATGGTAGAGCTATTTCACCTCTTTGGTTAGATTTATTTCTAGGCATTTATTTTTTGGTGGCTATTCTAAATAAGATTGCTTTATTTAATTCTGTCTCAGCATGTTCTCTGTTGGTATATAAAAAAAGTAAAGATTTTGTACATTGATTTTGTATCTTGCAGCTTTATTGAATTCATGCATCAATATATCACTTCTAGTAGTTTAAAAAAATTATAAATTCATTAGAATTTTCTATGTGTATAATCATGTCGTCTACCAGTAGGGACACTTGTTCCTTTCCTATTTGCAAGTCATTATTCATTCTACTGTCTTTACATCGGCTAAGCCTTTCGATTCTATGTTGAAAAGGAGAGGAGAAAGTGGACAACCTTGTCTTGTTTAATTTTTTAGTGGCAAGGCTTTGAACTGTTCCCCATTCAGTGAGATGTTAGCTAGGGAGTATTACATAGACTTTTATTGTGGTAATGGATGTACCTTACATACTTATTTTGCTGAAAGTCTTAATCATTAAGGATGTTGTATTTTATCAAATTCTTTTGCTGCATCAATCCATATGATCATGCTGTTTTGTATCTTTCCTTCTGTTAATGTAATATATTAAATTTACTGTTTTTCATATGTTAAACCATTCTTGTATCCTTGAGATAAAGCTTATTTAATTTCCATCTTTTTAATGTGTTGGATCCAGCTCAGATACAAGTTTACCTGGTGGTCTTTTGTATCAAATTGATCGTGTAAGTGAACCAGGCTGAATGACCCATTGAACTTGGTGGATATTAATATATCCCTAAACAGTCTAGGAAAGCTACTAGTGGTACCTCAGGTGGAATTTCAAACTTGAACTAGCACAATAAAAATCACTTGTGAATATATCTAATATTGTGTAGTCCAAATGTCTATACCGAATTGAGTATTATCTACAAGGTAATTCTTGGTTGGGCTAATCAGCTTCAATTGACATATTTTGTGAAGGTTTCAATTCAACCACAATAAAATGGGTCATTTCTAACTCTGAAGATAATCCCAATGATCAGTTTTTTTTAGTCCTTCCTATTAGAGTATCTGATGTGGTTAAAACCTTGGATCAGCAGGTGGTTGTGTGGTTGAAGACCTGGGTCCCTTATGACTGGTACCACAGTTTGAGTCTAGGACTCAGCTGTCTGGGAGGCACAATGGGTGTGTGCGTGCCCAAAATCTTGAGAGGAGAATGGAGAAGTGGGGATTGCTTCTCCTGGAAGGTGATTTTTTTCACTTCCTTCTCTCTGTCTCTCTTTTGAGAGTGCACACACCCTCTGACAGAAATCTAAAACAAATTGATTAATTCTTAAAAAAAATCATAGTGGTTGGAAATAATTAAAAATAGGTTTTGATGAATTAGGCAAGATTATTTAATGAGAAAATAAATTTAAAAATCTACATGGGAGGATTAGCTGATGGTGTAGTGGTTACTTCACTGGACTTCCACACAGTTGGCTATGGTCCAAATCCTAGACCCAGTAGCTTGAAACTCACATCTGCATGTATATATGTGTGCCCAAGATCCTGGGAGGAGAAAGGAGGAGAAGGGACTGTCACGTGGCCATCCCCCCAGTGGGTGATCTCTCTCTTTCCCAAACACTGTTTCTGTCTCTGTCTCTCTTTTTGGCAAGTGTGCATGCCCTAAGGCAAAAGACTCTTAAAAAAAACTAAAAGGGAAATGATGAGAATATAAACCAAAGATGATAATGTAATATGCTACACAAGCTAATAAGTATAACAATGGTAAGCACAGAGCATAATTATTATACAATCATTCATTCATAAAACAGTTATTTGAATTTTCTATTTATTCAAAATTATACAGTTAATATTTTTAAATTATAATTTTTAATCAAGAAATCTAATCTCATTTTTTTAGGAGTACAACCAGTACAATTATGCCCACCTCCACCTCAGATTCCTAATGCTCAAGATATGAAAACTACAGTGAATTATCAGGATGGAGAGAAGGTGTCTGTTCTTTGCCAAGAAGGTTACCTAATTCAGGAAGCAGAAGAAGTGGTGTGCAAAGATGGGAAGTGGCAGTCGTTACCACGCTGTGCTGGTCAGTGTGCACAGTCGTCGTATAGCAAACGTTCTTTCTAATGGGATTGATACATCACCATGCTCTGTGTAAATGAAAAAAAAGATCTTGTTCATGTCTATTATCTTTGTCCTGAAATCGTAAGTTGCAATCTAGCCATAAATCAATCAACCACCATTATTTCTCTTCTGAGAACAAAATACAGACAACAATTTGGGACTGCAATGTAAATACCATGTAAAATGTCTGTGTATTTTACTTCTCATGATTGAGAGAACATAAGTGAGGGAACATGGCACTAGAGGATGGTAGCTTAGTTGCTGAAGAGACATATACTTTTGCAGGTCTCTATTTTATTATTAAATAAGGTTCTTTGTTCAAATTATATTGGTCTTAAAATCTCAAATAGTATTTGATTTTATTTTTCAATGTAAATATTTTATTTGTGTGTAACTTTGATTTCTGTTCATTGTATAGAAAAAATTTCATGCTCTCAACTTCCTGAGATAAAAAATGGAACCCTTACATTACCTAGCTCTTCAGAAAAAATTAAAAAAATGAATGAGCCCAGTTCTTACCCACATGGCACTAAATTAAATTATAGTTGTGATGAAGGTTTCAAGAAGCTCAAAGAAGATGAAATCACATGCTATATGGGAAAATGGAGTTTTCCTCAGTGTGTAGGTGAGGACATGGAAAATTCAAATTCTGCTTTGGTATAGCTAAGTTAAAATGATCTATTTTTGTGAAAGTCAAGGAACAAAATAATTTAGATTATTTTATATATATATATACATATTACTATTTTACTATTAAAATAAGTCTCATATAATTTAATCAATCTTATATTTCTTAGTTTTATTAGCTCATTATAAAATTATTATTTTTCTTTTCTTTTTCTTCTGTAGGGTATTTGTGCTAATGGGAGAGACAAAGAGAGAGGGGAAAAGTGAGAAATCACTCCTCAGGGAGGATGGCCATAATGCATCCCTTCACACCTCCAGAGTCCTCTCAGAATTCTGGGCACATACACACACACACACACACACACTATATACACACACACTATATATACACACACTATATACACACACTATATACGCACACTATATATACACACACACTATATACACACACACTATATACACACACACTATACAGTAGAGGCCTGCTCTCTCCTAGGCTTCTCGTCATCTCTCGCTCCATTAGAGATTATGGGCACAAAGGCACACGTGTCTGGCATGTTCCTCAAGCCACCAGGTTCAGGACTAGAAATGCAGTCGACCCATGAAGAATCCAATGGCCCAGTCCCATCACCATGCTGAGGGCTGGCCTCTGCCATTTCTTTTTCTTTTTCTTTTTTTTAAGTATATAGTGAAATTAAATGTGCTTACTCTTGTAGGTTGTAATGCTGCTTTTCCACTAAGTTTAAAAATATTTTTTATATTACTCCTAAAAGATTGCTCTAACTTCATACACTACTTTTCTTCAGATTATTCATCCCCAGTGTGCTTCTTTTCATCACTCACGACTGGTTAGAGAAGCATTGGTCATCTTTCTTAAATGTGTCGACGGTTTAAGTTTCAAATCCTTGGTCAGATCGGGACAGTGGGTGAGGAGGGCACACACCAGAAGGGTGGCT